CAAAACTGCTTCCATGGCAAGTTTCTTTGATATCTCCACTGGCCAAAGGGGGGGAAGCAGGCAGGTGCAGAATGAGTATGTATGAACATACATAATGAACAGCATAATGAGATTATGTATGTATATTAGAGAATTAGCATGAGGAATGAATGATTAAGCCACTTCCTTGGTGGAAAGAAGTATTTGCTTTATAAATCTTTTTCCCAAAGAAAAAGCTGTTGGCAAATATTATTATTATGGAATTTCCAAGTTCCAGGTAGCACAGGTCTTAGCATACACCTTACAAATGTTACTCCATTTTCTAGTTTATTATTGGGTATGAAGGGGGTACCATAAGTAAAATGTATTGATCTTGGAGTGAAAAGTAGGAAAGGTCTAGGTAACATTGCAAAAGTCATTCCAATATAACCTGGCTGTTTTCTGTGGCCTTGACAGAACAGAACCGCACATGTCACTGGAAAGCTATTCATGAAAAATGGGCAGGGAGAGAAATACGTATGGAGCCATTCCTATAACAGTGGCAAAACACATTTCAAGGTACACTGTTTAAAAGGAAGCCAGAAAGTTAACTTACTATTTTTCTTGTACATCAAGATTTCAAAGGAGTTCACCTCATAGTTCTCAAATGTTTGCCGAACTTTATCAATTGTGTCTTTATCTGTCAGTTCTCCATACATGAAACTGCAAGGAAATGAACAAGACAGATGAGAATCACAAGCAAGACCTCATGGCACAACATCCTTAAATTTGCTTAAGTGCTCTTAAAGTAATCTTACTGAACTCACTTTCATAGAGAATAGGGTTGGTTGGTTTGTCTTATATGCCACTCCAATCAGCAATTGGCACTGAGCGGTTTACAAACCTTGCTCAGAAATTATTAAAAAAAAAAAATGTAAGAACCATAATAACAACAGTTGTTTGTAAGTGAGGATATCAAGTGATATTTGTCTGAACTCACTTTCATAGAGAATAGGGTTGGTTGGTTTGTCTTATATGCCACTCCAATCAGCAATTGGCACTGAGCGGTTTACAAACCTTGCTCAGAAATTATTAAAAAAAAAAAATGTAAGAACCATAATAACAACAGTTGTTTGTAAGTGAGGATATCAAGTGATATTTGTCTGCTACTATACAACCTCCTGCTGGTGGGACCAATTCTCCTTTTCCCCTGTAACTCCCCAAATCTATTCCA